TTTTTTTTTCCTAGAAACCTTCAGTAACAGTACCATAAAGAAGGTAATAAAGAAGAATGAAGGGGTATCTGATAAAATAAGCAAAGTAATAATGCATTCCTGGCTAGGTGCAGTGGCTCATACCTATAATCCCAGACGAAGGATGATTGCAAGCTCAAGGCCATCCTGGGCAATTTAATGAGACCTTGTCTCAAATAAAAATAAAAAACGAAAAGCCTAGGGATGTAGCTCAGTTGTAGAGTGCCCTGGGTGCCACAGACAAAGGTAGAAAAAGAGCGAAACATTCCTGTACAATTCCCTTAGATTCTAATTCTTTGAAGTTTGGATGTATATTTCTTCTATATTTAACATGAATAGATGTTTACTATTATTTGTGTGTGTGCGCACGCGCACACAATCACATAAATCCACTCACCCATAGAGAAATTTCTTTTGCATCTTTTTTCATTCTTTCCACCCCTTTCTGCTAAGGTTTTAGTCTTGTTCTTAGCACAAGCCAGACAAGGGTATCATATATCCTCTATTTTCTCAGTAAATCTAATTGCCCAAAACTAGGAAAAATAATAACAGAGCAAGCTTTATATGTTGTTGGAATGAGTATTTGCTTAAGCAATATGATTTGAAAGATGTATATAATACTATAGTAAAAATCATTAAATTTTAGTCATAAAATAGATACATTACAACATGTATCTATGGAAAAGCAGATATTAGTAAAACATTAATGGAAGTTTTTAACCAAAATCATATTAACTAATGTACTAAATTTCCTCTACCACTCATGACACTCATAGCTGTTAGGATACTCTACATTCCATCTCTGAGCTTCTTCAAGCACTTGAGTTATATGGTTACCAAAAATAGTCAATTGTGATTCTTTACAAGCCTGTTTACATCAATTGTACATGTAACTGTAATTGTGTATTATTATATAAGCAAATAAATACTATAAAAGATGATTGAATATAAATATTATCTCTGTGAAAAGTAAGTTGAATGCCTTGAAAACAATCTATAAAAGTATACTACTAAAAAGAAAGTGTTATGATGAGAATAGGGTCATGCAAAGTTGTGGTGAATAAGAAGCACTAACCTCCCACTATTTGATCCTGTCCCTGCCCTATCTTTGACGAGGGGGACTCCAGCTCTGGTACATGTGACCTCCTGGCATTTCCTGGAATTTGCCTGTCTTATCCAAATCTCTTATGAATGACTTGTACAA